TTGGGCACTCATTCAATGATGCATATTCGTTTCGAAACAAAATACAATCATTTAGACATGCATGTATCTTATCATAGCTCATGCCAATAGAGCACAACATTTTTTTGGCCTCGTAGGTTCGATTAGGAAGAACATTATCCTCAGGAAGCATATCTCTCAAAAGGGCTAATAACTGTGTGAAACTTTTACCCGACCATCCATTGCGCGCCTTTAAGTTGTACAATTTTAATACCGCAGACAATCTTGTGAATTTGGGGAAATCTTTATACAACGGTTTCTCCGCATCGCTTACCAACCTCTCAAACATTTTGGGACAATCTTGAAGATCTTCTTCAAGTGTTTCTGCAATCTCTTCAACTCGATCACAATCATATGTATCTGTGGCATTGTCGTACGAAACATAGGTCACATTACTTTTCACCCCCGGTTCAACATTCTCAATGCTTTTCTCACCATGAAATATCCAACACGTATAACTTTGATCAATTCCACGCATTAGTAAATGCGATTTCAATCCATTTGCGTCAACCCGACCCACATAACAACAACCCAAGCAAGGACATTTCATTCTATTCGGGTCTTCAGCGTGTTCAACACCAAACTTAACGAACTCTAATACCCCATTCTCGTACTCTTTTGACAATCGATCGACACACATCCATTTTTTATCCATGGTTTTAACTATTATCTAAGTTAAACAAAAATACTAATTAGGGCACAAAACGGTATAATGCGTTTCTGCCAAAACACAAAGTATACACGGATTTTATTATTCAAGTGAATATGTCATTGTTACGTGATAAACTCATTGAAAGGACCATTAACATTAAGAGTACTAGTAATCACGGTAACATTCCTCTCAGACATAACCGCCGCAAAAGACCATGAACTAATTCCAATATCAAAACCTATTCTAATCCCATCATTTCCTAATTGCAAAACATCATCAACAAGAAAATCATTCTTACTCTTAGACTTAACAAATCTTTGATTCTCATATCCATTAACCAAATCAAAGCAATGAACACAATCTCTATTCAGTTTCCTACCATTCAAACACTCGAAACTCTTGCAATTAAAACCATTCCAATTCACTGTTTTATTACTAACAGGCTTCCATAGTGAAACCGGAAAAGGATGAAGAAATTTTACCTTAGATGAAACCGATTTTGCGAAACTTCTTCTTCTAGGTAAAGGCTCACACTGTTTTTGAATCAGTTTCTCTATCACGAGGAGATGGTGGTGTGCCTGATGTTGTAGGGCGCATCCAAACAAGTGTCTCTGCGGGTGAAACAGTAAAACTGAACCATTAGAATAATCCACATCAGATACTATAATCAAAAGCAAAAGACAAATTCTCGAATCCAAACGTTCCCGTTAAATTTACCATACTTTGTATCACTTACATAAGATCTCATTTAAATGTCAAAGGGGATTTATTGTGTAATGAACTAACTAACTCGATCAATAAATAACAGTCAGTACCGCAGTATGAAGAGCAAACGTTACCTGTATTCAGTTTCCTACCATTCACTTATTCCTATATTCAATGGGACAAACTTGCTCCAATCTCTTTATAACTGCAATCACAGGACAAAGTAGAGTTAAGTAAAGTTATCTTGAGTTACAAATTCTTAGGGTAATATGTTCCACATCAATACAGATAATTTTCTAGAACATGAACTTGATATCACTTTGGTAGAAGCCTAAAGTTCAACATAATACAAATAATTTTTTCTTTACTGTTCCTTCTACTTTTCTGGTACATATTAAACTGCCACACGTGGAGGAACAAGCGAAGTAATCAACAGATAAAAGGAGCATTAATTGGTGCACTATTTTACCAGCTTTATCAATACATAAATACATAGAATGAGTTGGTTTGGTAGCTGCAAAACTATAGGGAATGAAAGTGAAAATAACTGTAATGGATTCTTGATAGAATTACCTACTAGAATCACTAAACAACATGGGCAGAGTGTATTAAAGTCGAAAAGGAATGGATTCTTTGATTCTCATATCCATTAACCAAATCAAAGCAATGAACACAATCTCTATTCAGTTTCCTACCATTCAAACCACTCGAAACTGTTTTATTACTAACAGGCTTCCATAGTGAAACCGGAAAAGCATGAAGAAATTTTACCTTAGATGAAACTGATTTTGTGAAACTTCTTCTTCACGAGGAGATGGTGGTGTGCCTGAAGTTGTAAGCCATTTCCCAACAACAGCTTTCTGGACCCTCACGTGCCTCTGGCCTTTGCCCTCGTATAACCTGAGAATCCGAAGTTTGCAACGAGACAACGAATCAGAAGCTTTCTGGCATGAAACACGGTTGGACGGTGAGGAGGGAGGAGACGAGTTGGAGAAGAAGATGAACAGGAGCGTTTTCTGGGTGTGTGGGGTTTCGTTTCTATAAAGTGGGGTTTTTGAAATCTGATAACCAATTTAGGGATTTAGAAACTATTTAATTACATTAGACAGCGCTTTCAAGAAGCGCTGCTAAAGGTATTACCTTTAGTAGCGCTTTAGGCTTTAGCAGCGCTTTAGAGTAATGCCTTTAGAAGCGCTTCTTGATAGTGTTGTCTAAGGTATACCCTTTAGCAGCGCTTCTGGAAAGCGCTGTCTAAGGTATACCCTTTAGCAGCGCTTTAGGCATTAGCAATGCTTCCTAGAATAACACCTTTAGCAGTGCTTTTAGTAAGCGTTGTCTAAAGTATAACCTTTAGCAGCGCTTATTCTTATTTTTTTTATTTTTTTTACTGAAAACCTATAGCAGCACTTAGGGAAAGGAAGCACTGTCTATGGTAAGGTCTATAGCAGCGCTTATAATAAGCGCTGTCTATAGTATACCTTTAGGAGCGCTTACTCTAATTTTTTAATTTTTTTTTTATTGAAAACCTATAGCAGCACTTAGGGCATAAGCGTTGTCTATGTGGCGTTGTCTAAATTCAATTTCGGCATAGTGCGTTAATATTTTAATCATTAATTTTATATTCATGTTAATATTTAATATTTTTATCAGTAACTTCATGTTTCCGTTAATATTCAATATTTTTATCAGTAACTTCATGTTCTCGTTAATATTCAATATTTTGATCTATAACTTCAGGTTCTCGTTAATATTCAATGTTTTGATCAGTAACTTCATGTTCCCGTTAATATTTAATATTTTGATCATTAACTTCGTGTTCCCGTTAATATTCAATACTTTGATCGGTAACTTCATGTTCCCGTTAATATTTTATATTTTGATCAGTAAGTTCATGTTCCCGTTAAAATTTAATATTTTGATCAGTAAATTCATGTTCTCGTTTGCATGGATATTGATATGATTAGCCGTGCGTTTACACGGTACTGGTGTATTAATTGTTAGTTCGCACGAGCACTGATGTATTATGCGCATTTGTTTTCAAAAATATAATAAAAATGAAATAAAAAAAGACAAAATTATCTAACCAAAATAGTTTATTATTTTTAAAAGTGATAATAAATCGGTTTCTATAATTTTTTTTGTATATCAAAATATTTGAATCAACAGTATAATTATTCTTATATATAAATATATATTTTTTGAAAATATTTATACAAAATTTTAAATCAATTTGTTCCCGTTATTATTTAATATTTAAATTATAGTTTAATATCAATACCATATCCACGTATTATATTAGTACATGAGTGTTCGCATGGATATTGGTGTGGTACGCGCGTGTTTATTTTTAAAATATAATAAAAATGTAAATAAGAAAAAATAATTGTTTTACTAAAAGTGTTTGTTACTATTTTTTTAAAAAGACAAAATTTTAAAAGGAAAATAGTCATAACCTGAAACTCGAAATATTTGATCACTAAATTGGTCTTATGAATATTATTAACTATATTTGACATACTTCCAGCAACAAGCAATTGGTCATGGTATGTCAACTTCATATCATGACATGGTATTAAGATATAGATATAAACCTAAGGGTTGTTCTGATCAAAGAGTTATCACCATTACATAGAGTACCCCAATCAACAAGTTTCCATGGTATGTCAACTTCATATCATGACATGGTATTAAGATATAGATATAAACCTAAGGGTTGTTCAGATCAAAGAGTTATCACCATTACATAGAGTACCCCAATCAACAAGTTTCCATGGCCCAATCAACAAGTTTCCATGGACCGCCAAGTACATCTTTCTTAAGGATTGCAAACCCATACGAAGCGGCATCATGTGTCTTATATCATCGCTTGATTCAACTTTGTTTCAATTAAAAAAATAGATAAAGGAAGAAAAAGAAAAAAGAGATAAAATGAAAGAAGAGAGGAAGAAAAAGAAAGCAGACAATATGAAGAAGAAGAAAGGAGATATTTAAATAAATAAAGGTAATTGTTCATCATAACTTTATAGATATATATCTCATTAATAGTAAATGAGGTAATAATAAGTTGTTAAAAATGTGAAATATTGATATTTTATTGAAAATAATTAGAAAATAAATTGGTGTAAAGAAATAAATTAGAAAAAAAAATGTAAAAAAAATGGTTGTGATCAGAAAATTAAAATATAGATGGATCTTATATTAAAAAGATCGAAGCTGACCCTGTAATTATAACTGGAATTGTACACCAATTGTGTAACTCATGTAGTTGTAATGTCTTAAATTGATTACCTAAAAGCAATGCTCCATCATGCATGTAAAATAAGAAGCATAGTCTTAGAAAAAATTATCTTCATTGACATGCTAAAGCTAGAACGACATAAAACACTTGCATATTAAATATTATGTATTTTTAATATAACAGTGGTGAGCAGTGAAATATACATAAAAACCATGCATTACATTCTCAATTAATTATATCATTGTTGACTATAAAAAGACCCTACATGGCTATGAACTCATCACACAATTCAAGAGTTTTTCATATCATGTGGCATGGTAAGAATTGGACCGTGTCATCTTGTTGGTAACTAATATAGGTATCCAGTTGTGCAACATATCCAGATCATCAGCAAAACTGTAACTTTTCCATGACGGTAACGCCGCTGCAAGACAGTAAATACAAAAATTCATGAAGTTCATAATAAAATAAAAATACAAATCAGCTATCCATATCGAAATTGTCGTACAAATCATCATTGTCTTCACTAATTTCAGGGCATTTTATAGCAGAATATTATAATTGAAGATCAACAGTAAGAGTTAGCTACATAATAATTTGAAATTGATGCAAAATTGATGTTGGATAAAGTAAGAGGATCATATAATAAGTAGACAGCATGTTACACTTTAGAGTGCAAAATTAAGACTGGGGCGACAATTATTATCATCATATCTGTTGTTTCAACAACTTAAAAAGCTGCAACAAAGAACGTTTTTGATGATTCAAAAAATATTCGACAATGAAAACATTTGTAATGATATGCAACTTTAGGTACCTGAAAATTTCCATGTGGATCTCTTTCAAGAAGCAAATGTCTTGAATTACTTGAGGTAAAAAATCAAAAAGCTCCAATAACTGATCAGTGAGTTTATTTTTCCACAAACCAGTCTTATCTACAGTATCATTAGCCAGAATTTCACTGACTTCTGCAATCAGATGTTGAACCTGCAAATAGAATAATAACATGTAAATAGAACAATAGAACAATAGCATGTACATAAAGCCGAAATCGTCGTCGAGTTACTCCAAACGTAGAGCCTGATGCAAATAAATGAAATATAAGATGATGTAATATACATTAAAAAAGATTATAAGCACAAGAAAGATTCATATGGTCATTGAACTATTGTAATAAAATGAAACCCAACTGCTAATAATAGGAGCCAATAGCAGCAGTATCAATCCAACAGCAAGACTAATGAGACACCATTGCGAAAATCTGCATAATTTGTTTTAGAACAGATAAATTAGCATTGGAAGTTTAAAAACTCACAGCAACAGAGAACAATAGAATAATATTCCGCATATTCTGATATGAAAGAAACAAACCTTCTTTAAGGGTAACTGTAACTGAATCCAATATTTCCCAATCAATCTTGATATCAAGTAAGGCAGCAGAAGTTTTTGTTTTGAAATGCATCTTTACGTTTTGATAAAGAGAAGAGGTGTAGTTGATAGTTTGAAAACATAATACATGTCATGTTGAAAACAGAAGACGTGGCGTGTTGTGGAGCAAGTAGGAAAATTGTGGCAGAATTGTGGAGCAAGGAGTCCAACATACCACATGCTATGTTGCACATGACATCAACCAACGAACTGACCTGCATCATAAATTATTCATAACAGTCATGCATCATGTTTCAAAGCAATTGACATGACAAGTTGCAATGTAAATAATGTGAATTAAATAGAGATTATGAAGAATCACTTATCTTTTAATATTCACGACGACACCGTGATTCAGAAGAAGGTGCAATGTATATGTGGTAATGTAACTGGGGAAGATGAAACAAATGCACAAGCAGGATTGTTGTCCGAGTTCAATGAGGCTCAAGCATTTCGGGGAAGTCATTTGCCAACCAGTTCCGCCCATGGAGTCGCCATTTCTACCAAGGTAATCAAAGTAATATTGGTTGTTAGATGCTTGATACAACCATGCAGCAGGACAGAGAAATTCATCATGTGCATTTAATTACCAACATTCAATTATAATTCGAATATTCATTTCAAATTTCAAATGTAAAGTTTTTTATATTGATCCAGAATTGCATTGAACTAAAAAATCTTACATTATAGCCACTGATAGATATGTAGTACTTCTGTGCAACTGTGATGTTGTTGTCATGTTTGCCTTTATATTTATCCGTAAAATCAAACTACTGCATTTCATTAAAACCAATTACAAATCAATTTAGTGATTCCATATGGAAATAGAATAGTGTAAGTTACCATCATCAGATAGAAGATTTATCCTAACTTATAACTATTTTTACCAAAAAGAGTGTAATTACTGATATTGGTACTTAGGGTATTAGATATGCTCATTTATTAGGTGTCAACTAAAATACTATAAACTCATGAAACCAGAGTCAGATCTAGAACAACAGTAAAATAGAATTTCAGAACCATCTTAGAAATTTTGTTCTTAATAACTCAACCTAGATTCTGAAATTGAACAGTAAAAAAAGTGATAAGATGAAAGAAAAGATGGAAAGCGATGCACTAATGAACATATGTATATGGGTAGAATAAGCATACCTCTTTGTTATGTCAAAGGATGTCATTCATTAGAGGAGTTTGACCAGCTTTATCAACATCATTTACATCTGCTCTTTCTTCAATTAAATATTCACACAACTAAGAATTTTCGGTGCTAGATGCCCAATGCAACAGAGTGCAGCCAACCTGGGTAGAAACTTAAATATTTTGGAGTTACACCACTAACCCTTCTACCAACATACACTTGGAATAAGTGTAATGTCCATAAGATGTTGCTCCACCTAGGTTTTCCAAGTCACCATTTCATGATACTTGCCCTGTCAATATGCAGAACTATAGTAAGCCATATAGAAAATGATAGATCTACCAATGACAAGTCACCGTACCAGTATATATATTAGAAATAAAATTCAATCTAATTCAACTGAACTCAATCAAACATTAGAACTGTTACGGAATTGAGAAATTATCGTAAAACCTGACTGGGAATTGAGAAACAATTGTAATACCTTATCGTAGTACCTTATTGAAAAAAAATGAAGTTACTTCCTCTTAAGTTCTCTTTCAACTTTTTCTGTAGATTCATAAACAATTTCAACATCATCGGGTCTACGGCCAGCCTGCACCAGTGGAATTTTATGAAAATATAAATAATGATTGAAATTATCTATCCATTATTTGTTGAATAGTTGGCCAAACCTAAAGGCATTCATCATTAGATACAATTATAGTTGGCCAAACCTAAATCATAGAAACAACGAATTTCACAACAGAAACACGATTATACATAAAACATCAAAATCACTATGTTAAGAATGAGAAAATGCGACGGTAAAGAAACTCAAACCTGTGAGAGTCTCGTGGAGTGGGAAACGATTGGAGAAAGAATTGAAGATTTTGTTTTGTAACCGCCATGATTTGTGGAGAAATTAGAAGAGAACGAAGATTTTGGAAACAAAAGATTCGCTGATGCCTTGAACACCGACGAAAAATCCATCACCGAAAAACTTAACAGTTGTCGTTTAAGTTTTCCCTCCGACCACCATCACCCCACGAAAATGCAGATCCGCCACATTTGTAAGATGAATTTGATCGTTCTTTGTTTCGGTTAGGGCTTCGTTAGCGAGATTGTTGATAGTAGATCAGATTTATTTTAGAAATCATAAATTTTGATTTGATTTCAATACGAAGAAGAAGAACAAGAAGAAGAAAGAAGAAAAAGATGAAGCATTTTGGAATCGGTGAGAAATGATTACTGTAAAATGGAGATGGAAGAACAGAAGAGAGAGTTTATGGAGATGGAGGAGAAATCATTTTTCAATAATTGTAGATGGAAGAGAAACCGTCGATAGTGGAAATTAAATGAAAAAGAATTGAAGAAAAGAATAATAAGAAAAAAGTTTTAAAAAAATAGATGCATGGATAGACTATCCACGTGTCGCATAATTGAAACAAAAGGACAAAAAAGACTTTTTGGGTAGAATCACTTTTCTTATATTATAGATTAACAAATGCAATGATGTTGTCATAAAACATTACACTTTTATAAAATTAATTCTATTAATATATTGGAATTAGTGTAAAAAATAAAAAGTAAATGGCACAATTAGAAAAATAGTAATTATTGTTACATTTAAAAGTGAAAATGATAGTCATTTTGAAAGAAAAAAAATATTTGCTAAAACGACAGTAATTTTAAAACGGATGGAATATAATGTGATAGAGGATTACATTTGAGGTTTTCAATGAGTATATAGCCTCTAACTTATTATGATGGACATTTGTTTGTATTTAGATCATAGCTTATCAGCGTGTAACCGACAAAGTCAAAATATGATACGATAAAAAGTAAGATCTCAAGAGTTGTTGAGGTTATTACGATTGTATTGGCCACTGTTTCGTGCCAAAAATTTCAAATTCGAAAGTAATGTTCTTTGGGTCATTACATTTGTAATAGCCATTACAGCCTAGTCGTAATGCCCTCGTGCCTCGTGCTAAAACCTCTTTTCTTGCTCCATATTCATGCATCTTTATGATTTAGATATTTTACCACTTGTATAAGGCTTTGATTCTTTAATTCTCTTCAAACTCCTAAATCATAATGAAAACAAGTATACTGAAGTTAAATGGAAACAAAAGAAACCAATATCCTAGATAAAATGAAAAAATTATAAGATGAAAACGATATAAACACGACTTATCAAAACTCCCTCATACTTTTAATCACTGTTTGTCTTCGAGCAATTAACTCACATATAAAGTATAGGGACAAAGCAATTTTTATAAGAATTCGGATACATGCACGTAGGGAGATTCATTCAAACTCTATAAAGAAACTAATGTAGGTCTAAAGTCATTTAGGACCCACTTAGCTTAAAGGTTCTTACAAATTTTTCTCTAATTTTCTTCTCAAAGATTATGTTCCCACCATAAGCTTGATCATAAACCCTTTTTCCTATTGGTTCTCATTATTTTACCATCATGATTTCAAAAGGCATTTTCTCTAGGATATTAACACTACTACAAAAAATGCTTTTAACCTCGGGCGCGAAATGTATTTACCTCGGCTAAAGAAGCGAGGTAACGAAAAAATTTATTTGAGCATGAGTTCGAACTCCATCATTTGCACTTTTATTATTTACAAAACTAATGCTTCATACATCTCGGTTAAACAAAAAAACGGAGGGGTAAGATGAATTATTAATTTTTTAAATTGAAACTCACTATATTATTTACACAGAAAATTAATAAAATAATTTGTTTACAAACTACAATGTTTACCTGGAATATTACGTTATTTACACAGAATAATCAAATAAAAATTAATTTGTCCATGAAGTTCATATGTTGGATCTTCAAATCCTTGATATCCTGAGGAAGATCAATCGTTGAGTGCTAGTATATTTTCAATTACTTTTTCTTACAGTTGTTTCTAAAATGAAAAAAAAAGCTTAAACAAAAAAAGGGTTATATAAATAAATAACTTTCTTCTTAAATAAATATTTAAGAACATAAACATTAAATCCGAATAATTTTTTTCTCTTGCAATATATCATATAGAACTCTTCATGGCAAACAATCTTGCAAACCTTAAAGTGAATGATAGTTTCAAGTGCTTTATGATGTCTGATCATCAATTTTTTTATATTCATAATACTTTTATAATAGAAATTATTTATGTTTCACGCGGATCACTAATGGTAGTGTCTTGAGCGTTGATAATCGTGAAATGAATGATAAGAATTTGATTAAGAACAGTGATAAATATCCTCAATTTTAACACTAAATTATCTCCTTGATTTTCCAGAAAATCGAGGTGCAAAAGCTTTTTTTTTAAAGTTAAATTATTTACACATAATATTAAAACGGAATATTACAACAAATCTAGATTCTTAGAGAACAACAAATCTTAGTTGTGAGGAGTTATTTATTTCAAATATTGGAAAATGTTATATGGATTGAATGCATCCAACTTCTAAAGGAGATATTTGTTCCAACTATTGAAAAATATTTTTCTGCACTTGCAATCCATCATAGAGTTTTGTTTTCAAGCTTCTTAAGTTCTATCTTAAAGGAAATGATAAGCATTTATCCCAAGTAATGATGCGTACGAGTTAGGATTATGGTAAAATATGTTTAAGAAGTGTTTTTATAGTAAAATATGATTATCTTATCCCTCGGTTATTATAAAAACCAACGGGATAGATTATTTAATTTACAAATAAAAAATATAATAAAAATAAAGGTTCCAGTATTGTTTTCTCCCTCGGTTATGCTAAAATCTGATGTAAGATGTTGTTTTAAAAACTAAAACGTCGCGCGCATGAATTGCAATCAAATCACTAGAATAACAATGGTCATCTATATTCAAATCGTAACATATCTTTTGAATTTTTAAGGAGGTTTTTGAGATATTTAAACGTCTTATTTCCAACTCTTTGTGTCTTCAAACCTTGTTTCAAAGTCTTTTCATATTTTCAATGTCTCATTTCTAACTCCTGGTGTCTTGTTTCCTTGTTTCAAAGTTTTTTATTCAAAAATGGATGCAAATCTTTTATTCTTTATCAACGATTTTTTTTTTATTTCAATTATTTTGATGGTTTTGATTTAAGGAAAACTGTTAACAAACAAAAATTGAATGGTTACTTTCACATTCTACATGGCCCTGTCTACACTAATCTCGTTAAAGGATTCTAGATTAATGTCTTTGTAGTGCCAACTGGTCATGATGAATTCATTCAGTCCTATATCAATGGATCTCATTTCTTCATTACTTTATCACTTGTTGGTATGACAATAAACTGTGAAGATATATGTAGTTGTGTTGAATATTATATATTCAATAATGTCTACTCAACCCTTCTCCATCGAATTTATCCCAACTAAGATAAGGCCACCATTCCTGCTTCTCTACTCTCAATTGTAAAATTTTGGTTTAAACTTCTAGTGGCAAATCTCCGTCCAAGAGAGAAATAACTAAAAACGCTTACTTGGTATGGCAATCATCTCTTGTACTTTCTTACCTACAACCATGTATTGAAAAATATTTTAAATGCAGTAACAGGGATTCAAGATATTTTTTTTAGCAATAACCAAGTATTGAAAAAAAATACACAAATAACCATGTTTCTGGGAAAATTACGCAAATAACCATGTTTCAGAAAATCCCACAATGGAGGCGCCAAGTGAGATGGCGCATACACCTAAATTTAAGAAGGAGACGCCAAGTGAGATGGCGCCTAGGTGCAACATGTTTGTCCTAAGCCATCTCAGATGGCGCCTAGGTGCAATTAAAGGGCAATTTTTTTTCTTTCAATTTTAAATACGAGACAATAGGTAAACGATATAGCTTCACAAAACTTCGGCTTTTCATTAACAAAAAATGATTACATAATGAAAAAAAACATACATATTAATTAGTGGTCCCCTGGAACTCGGTAGCGACCCGTGGTTCCACATCCATGTCCTCGCCTATCTCGTGGTGGGTTTCATCGATTTTCTTATTGCGGTTGGGTCGATGGCCCAACAAAGTCAATGCGTTCAGGATCCATGAAATCGGTCAGAT